ATTAGCAAAAAATAGCAAAACCAAATATTTTTATCGCTTTCTTTTATTTTTATCATTCAAAATTGATATTCGCATATCTTAATTAAAAATCGTTTTTTTTCAAAACAAGAAAAAATACGTATCCTCTCATTTTCCTTTTAGAATAACATATTTCATCGGCAATCAAATCTGCAATGTGAAGATGTCAGCCTGCCTGATTTGAGAAGGATTTGGCCTGATTTAATTTTTATTTAAGTGAAGAGCATAGGTCACTTAACTCAAAATTTAAAAAAAAACAAATTCAGCCTTATCGTGAGTTTCGCCTAAAAAAACATTCACCCGCAAATTTGTCATCCGACCATAGCAGTAGAAGCAGTTTTCTTGGCGTTCATTGTGGAATACTTTTTACATCTGGTGCTTTGCTGGTAAAACTATGTTCACATTACCAACATAAAATACTTAGTTTCGTTTAAAATACCTCACTAAATTAAGTGCGTTCATACACGCGATTCTTTATTTGTCTTGACAGCTTTGTAGCAACCCTGTGTTATTGTTTATTTAACCAAAAGAGATCGCGAATGTGAGTAATTGCGTATAGTTTTATATTCTGAGTTGTTTGTGGTAGTTTTTTAGATTTTAGATGAGTGATCAAATGTCTCTGGAAATATTTTACAAACTACCACGCGCGATTATTAAAAACAAAAACGTCCAAACACGATGACATATCAGTTATGGGACAATGCTTTTTTCGATTAATATCGATAAAATTAGAGCCGACACTGATTTGTTCGTGATTTGGTTCTTGGTTTAAGATAAACTACGTACTTTCAACTTAATTTACTGAGAGACTTTACAAGGCGAAATTACTTAGTTTGTACTAAATTTATGCGTAAATTAAGATTGACCTCTAAATTACGCTAATGGGAACATAGTTTTAAATTATAAATGTCACGCAAAGTCACAAAGTTTTATCTGGCATCAGGTACGACCAAGGCGAATTTATATAAGGTGGTGTTGTTTCATCAGCTGTGAGTAGCGTTTGATTGTCAAAATTTTGTATTTCGTTAGCGAGTGAGTGAAAACGTGAGAGTGTTTGTGTTTTCTGTCGCCCTTTTTCATTCGGGGAAGAATAGCTGAAATTTGACAATGGCCCGCTAAAAGCAAAAACAAAATACAAGTAATTGTTGTGTTTGTTGAATCGATACCACCTTATATGTATTCGCCTTGGGTACGACAATACGTATTTCAAAAGAAAGCTTTTTATAAACACTTTTATAACCCTTTATTTAAAGATATTTCATTAAAAACTCATACATAGATTGCTTAACATCTAGAAACTAAACGAAATGCGAATTTTCGGCGGACTCATCTAAAGTCGCGAAAATATAAATAGGGAATAGACATTTTAGCATACAAATTCACAATAACACATACAAATTAAGCATAAAAAAGTTAATTATTACATCTTGTTGCGTGCTTTCAATTACTTGCGGTTATTGGCAAATCAGAAAAGCGACATCGATGCAGCTATATATTCCGCTTCATCGCCGCCATTCTCATTGATGAACTTTTCTGAAAAAAATTTAATACATTTTTAATTGAATGTTAAACTAAGAAAGGATAAGGGGAACTCATCATTTGAAGACTCGAATGCTCCACCGATTAGCGCAGCGGGTCCTGGATTGGACTTTTTTTTACCACATCGGTTTTATTTAATTTTTTCTTTTAATAATATATTTTAAAAAACGTAAACACGTCACTTACGATTGAAAAAATTTTATATTTACTACTTCATGTCGTTGGCATTTACATTTCATTTATAAGTTTAAGTTATTTATAAACATTCGCACTCAAAACTTATTAAAGGTTTATTTGAAACAACGTTTAATAAGCTTAATATTAAAAATGCTTATTTAACGCTTATTATAGCAAACTTAATTTAAGTTATTTTTAAAAACATTTACTGAAATGCTTGTTGGGACGTAAATGGACTAAAATAAACTCGATTACTTTAATCAAATGATTAATCGCTGCCATCCCTAGTACTGACATTTCATCACAGCTGACAGCGGTTGCGGCAATAAAGTCTTTCACTGCAATTAAAGGGGGAAATTTTCAAATTTTATTGGTTTTATTTTGACTGCAGGTTGTTTTGGAAATAATTATGTCGAAACACGATCCGTATGGAACACCGGCCAAACCAGATAGCAATTGCCGCACGTGCACAGATTTTAAGTATTGGTCAAAACAGCAACGGCAAATATTTCACAAGGCGGTAAGTGCTTGTACTTTCCAAAAGGTTGGATTAAGCACAAGGCAGCATGAGAATCGCGTAGGCAAGGTTTCATAATTGCAGGCCTATTAACATTTATTAAAACTTTCTAGGATACGTCAAAGGAAACCAAAACAGAAGCGAGTGAAGCTGCGCCAAATGGTTGCCCATTGGATAAAGTGGCGTTAGGTCGCTCAACATGGGGTCTACTACACACAATGGCGGCATTTTATCAAGATAATCCCACTGACCATCAAAAAAAAGATATCAAAACATTTCTTGAAGTGTTGTCGCGCGTTTATCCATGTGAGCACTGCGCCAAGGATTTCCGCAAGGAGTAAGTTGCTTAGATAAATGAGCCTGTCCGCAGTGAAGTAATTGCACCGGGGCATTATTAAGCCTGTTCCAGGAACTTTCCGTATGCCATTTCACGTAAGGTTTATCAATGGCGAAACAGATTTTCCTGCAAACTCTGGGAGTCCCTGCAATATGTTTAATGTGGGGACATCTGCCAATTTTTGGGTAATTTTTGTTGCATTTCCCAATTCTTTAACGTTTTTTTTGGTTGCATCATAAGATGCGACATTGCCCTGTAGCTATTGCCCGAGTGAACAGGCTCAATGCTATTACAACGGCAGTGATTACATATATATTTTTTTTTCAGTCTCAAAGATCATCCGGCGCAAGTAAACTCACAATATGAATTTTCGCAATGGCTGTGCAAGTTCCACAATCGGGTCAATGTCAAGTTAGGCAAACCACAATTTGACTGCTCTAAGGTTAATGAACGATGGAGAGATGGCTGGCTAGACGGTTCATGTGATTAAAGTATTCATATTCTCCTGTAATTTCCAATACCAGGTGGTGGGCTAACACAAACAAAAAAATTACAGAAGGCCCCAGTATAAAGATACAAATGCCGTTATTATAATCGTTTCATAATTGCAATTATGTAGATTGTAATTTACACTTAGATAGTATTGAATAAACAAATTGTAAAATTAAAATGTAAAGATTTAAGCTGCCTAATCTAAACGAAAAACTGTCTACATTCAAAGATGTGCTGTATATTTATTTTATAAATGCTATTTTACTTAAAGTAAAAATCTAAGTTTCACTGCAGAAATAAGAAATCGTGCAGTTTTTACCTGGTTTTACGTGGTTTTTATGTATACTGATTTGACCCAGATAATGAGAATATTATGCAGCAGGATTTTAACGTAACTTAGCATTTCGGCACACAATTTGCTACAAGACTAACGTTAAATCTAATTAACTAAGCAGCCATCGTCAGCTATTTTACTGATGCGCTGACGATCGTCGACGATTTTCGGTATAGAGCCGATTATTATTTTAGTTAGCAAAATTTTCTCATTTCACCGGATTTATCTGCAAATTTCTACAAAGATTTTTTGGTCCACAATGTCAAAGTAACATTATTAGCAATTTTGTTATAAAGTTCGCGAAGAAATGAACCGGCAATGCATATAATGGATTATTTTGGGCCTAAAAATAATTCAAGTAATGGATTGTAATTTTGTCTTTGGATATTTGCCCTAATTATTTCGACTAAAGTTCTTTGTAAACGATATAAAATACTTCACAAATCCTCTTACTTACCAATGAGCCGAAAAAGAAATTAAAATTCCGCTATAAACGGCCTTCTGTCACTTCAATAGCATAGCATTAAAGGTAAACTAAAGTATATATCGTCGTTTAAAGTACAAAACCGCGTATCAACAAAATCCAAAACCGCCTATCAAGATAATGCAAAACCGCGTATGTGAGGTTGCATGAATTATTTTCTAGGGAGTAAAAAACTCATATTTCAAAATGGCTCTCTTTTTTATAAAGCAATCTCATTTCTGGCTAGTATATTTCAGGACGAATGGATAAGGATGTGAGCAAATCCAATTTTTGGCAGCAAATGTCAGTTACGCAGTTTTTACTTTAAACGACGATATGTACATACAAACACATTTATAAAGATGCAGAGGCGTTTGTAATAGCATGAAATCCTACGGGGATGGTTATAAACTTTTGTGTTCATCCCAAGGAGATTTCCTACATATTTCACCGGCTTCGAATTCTCAGCAGGTTCTAGGGCAGGAAGAAAGAGTCTCACTAAGTATTTTTTGAGTAATATTCTGATGTGACAACACGGTCAGGTATCGTCCCCCTCTGCCAGAAACATGACGGTGTAAAAATGAGAAAATGTTGGAAATCAAGTTTAAAGTTTTTTTCATGAGACTTAACTCTATTCATGTAATTGACATTGTAAAATATGTGGTTTGCGTGCTCCCATGGTATTCTATTTTTTTGGAATAACATAGAACATCTAAAGTTTAGTAAAGTCGACGCACTAACCCAAAATTGGTAAACTTCCACATTCATGCTTCTGCCATAAGGACGACGATATAAATTTGCGTCGTTCCGGTTACGCAGACTCGACTGCATTTTCTTCGTCTATAACATATTGGCTGCATTTCTTTATACATTCTGAACGTTTGGAATAAACTTTTTTGTTTACTTATTCTTTAGAACGTTCCTGATGATATGTTAACGTATATTTCAAACGCGTTCAGTTTATTCTGGTTGAGAAATGGGATTGTCTGGAATGTATAAAGAAACGCAGCCATTATGAACTTAATAAGAAATAAAAAATTCACAAATACGAAGTTATCTATTTATTTATCATAACACACTTAGTTTCAATATTATGTAATTTCATTTCCAAATAGCCATTACTTTCATTTATATTGAAAACATTGTTTTCATATTTAATACATAATTTCACAGATGAAGGTATGTATTATGGCATTTAGTTGATAAATTTGTAAGCGGAAAGCAGCAAATATATTCCTTCAAATTGCTATTCTGGCGTTGTTCCATCTCCACAAATACCTGTTTAAATTCTGCCAGGGAAGGTACCGGCTTCACGCTGGTCATTCCACCTTTCCACCCAAGCATTGGGACACATGGATGAGAATACCTTCTTGAAGTAGTTGCATGGTTCGTACTTTTCTCCACGCACCTTCTGGCAGCGATGGTAGTCAATGTAAGATTGGTAGCAGTAGCGTGTCACGTTCTGGTTGGGGAATCGTGGATCGAATGGTGCTGTTTCCAGTTTATACGTCATAGTATCTTCTTTGCCTTTTTTTGACATGGAAATTTTTTGTTATATTAAAAAATACTGCAATTAATAAATCGCACAAGTAGGAAAAGGCAAAGCGAAGGAGTGTGCGATCGAGCAATTGTGATGATTACACGAAATCAGGATGTAACGACACATACAAGAGAAATGCGTTCATTAGTTATATGGATGAATGATTAATATTGTCTATAATCGATATTTTAAGCATGTTTAAGAGTATGTTTAACCTTAATCTCATTAAAGTTTTGCATCAGCAGATATCTTTTACAAAAAAAAAATATAAATAAAAACAAGACAGAAATTATAGAAAGAAATAGTAAAAAGGTAATTTAAAAGAACAAGATTGCAAACTTTTTTTCAGTTTAAAACGCGTAAAAACTATGCCCCAAATAAGATTCAAACCATACACTTTTTAACTTGTATATAGCTCACAAATCTGTTTTCCTTTTCAACAAGCCTTCAGTTCACAAATAAATTTGCTTGATACTCTAGCCGCTCTATGAATAACTTGGTTGAGTACCGATCGAAAAAACGTTCCCAATTCCCTACACTAAAAATAATTTTTATTAAAGAAATTTATAGCAAATAGGTGAAAAAGTGGTTGCGTGTGCGTACGTGTATATCGGAGTGGTTTGAAAATTGCATATTTTTTGATTAAATTCAACAATAATTAAGAATATATACTAATTGCGGTCGATTTTAAATTCTGCCTGGAAACACACCAGCTTCCCGTTGTTCACCCCACTTTTCCACCCAAGCATTGGGACACATTGTTTTGAAAACTTTTTGAAAATATTGGCATGATTCATCCCCTTCTCCGCGACTCTTCTGACAACGATGGTATTCCACATAGGAAAACCAGCAATGTCGTGTTACATTCATATTTGGAAAACGCGGGTCCATCGGAACTGTTTCCATCTTATATTCGAGTTCGCTCTTTTTTTGTTCTTTTTTAGACATGGACAGTAATTTTCTTTCCGCTCTTCAAGCAATGTTATGTAATAATCACATTTATGCAAACAAGAAAATGAGGAGAATAATGAATGTTAGTTGAAGGTGAAAAACGAAAAATGTTAATGTTAGTAAAAGGAAGAGATATGTAATTGGAAGCTGACTATGGTATAGCGAAATGAAATACAAGTTAGTAAAGAGTAAACACAAAATAAATTAATATTGACATTACACAAAATACAAAAAAAAAAGTTTAATGTATTCCTGCTTTGTAACATTTTCTCGAAAAATGTAAATAAGTGTACTTAGCCAGCAAAATTAGGGGGCAATCATTTAAATGTTTCCTTGTTTTAAAGGTTCTATTCTTACCACTTAGCCTACTGATAAATGAAAACTTACAACTAGAATTGCCACTAAATGTATAATGCAATCAGAAAATTATTCACAGGATTGTTGTAGAAGTGGAATTGATTCATAATTCAGTTCGAATTAAAGTTCTTAACATAATTAATGTATATGCACAGAATTTTTGTCACGCTGGGGGAAAACTCGAAGTATGTACATATATGCATACATGCATATGCACGAATTTCAATTCAAGTTCAGTTCAACGCGAATTTAGGCTCACTTAACTAGGGGCCTAGTGCCGCCGTCGGAATCGCAAGCATGATTCTTATATTTGTTTACTTCCGCTAAATACAGTGACCAGAAATCTTTCGGATCTTCATTTTGTTCAGCTTGAGCTTTTTGCTTCGCTACAACTCCAGTTTTCAAAATTTTTCCACCACGCCGACGTCCAACAATTGGTGGTGGCGGCGCACATTTCCCGGTCGATGTAGCCGCAATATAGGCGGCAGCATTTGAGGTAGATGCAAGTAAAGGTGCAGCCGGTATTGGTGCCACGGCGGTAGGGACTGTTGCCGGTGTTGCATTCTGTTGCGCTTGCATTTTCTTAAAAATTTCCAAAAATGAACCATCGTTCGCGAATACTGGATGTGACGCCTCTGGCTTTTTGGGTGGATATACTTTGCCTTCTTTAGCCAGTGCTTGTCTTAATTTCTCTTCCATTTCACGATGTATGCGTTCTTTATCGATCGGTTCATCTGTATCAAGATTGTAATAGGCACCAATAGGTTCACGTTTCGGCAGCGGTAGGTGCTGCAAATCTGTATTTTCTAGCTGCGGTTGTGTTGTTGTGGAGCCATTGTTAGACCCAGAATTGGACGTAGAAGTTTTGTTTTCATTAGAATTATGGCGACGTTCACCATCACGTGTTTTTCTGTCTGAACTGCGTGAACGAGAATCTCGCCTATTGCTGCGATGCGAACGTGTAGGAGTACGGCTACGTGAATCTCTATGTCGTCGACTGGTGTTGTATCTATCCCGACGATTTAAACTTCTGCTGCGACTGCGTGTACGTCTGTCTACATGACGTCTACGATATTCCACGGAACGACTGCGACTACGTGAGCGACTATCATTACTCTTGCGGCGGTAACGACGTTGACGCGAGCGACTACCGGAGCGACTGCGTCGCCTACGATCTTCTCTGCGCGAATCGTTATCAAATCCCATATCACGTTTTAGTCGCTGATTCATAGAAGACATGGTAGATTGTCTGTTAATTTTTCCGACAGCTGTTGTGATGTTAGTATCTGTAAATCAAACTGTAGCCTTTTTAATAAATTGCAGAACTATTGCGCCTTCAGCTGCTTTTATACTCATAGCAATTTCTATTCGCTATTTATTTTTTTTTTAGTATATTTTCTTGTTCAAAAGTAAAGTTAAGCCAAGTGCTTGCCTTTGCTTTTGCCTTAATTAAAATTTTTTAAAAATTTGGAACCAAGAAAATATTTATTTTTAGCGATAAAAAATATGAAATTTAAGGATGTCAATGCAAAAAAGGACATTTACATGTTCGTTCTTACTGTATTATTCCTTGGTAGGCAATGCTTGGTCCCGAAGTTTATCCGGTTATGATGTGCAGAGATTTCAGCTTCGCTGGTATTTCTCCAATGTATTGACCGTTTAGACGGCTTTGCTGTTATGTCTTTGTCCTAATCGGGTAAACGTTTTTTAAAATTCCTGCGTAAAAAATGAACTTGAAGGCATGAATACTTCGTGTTTTCCCAACTGTGCATTTTCTTTCATTAACTCTTCAAATATATACTAAAATATTTGGTTTATGTTCTTATACCATACCATTTAACAAAACTATGCAAGCGAGTTGTCCACAATCAAAACTTATTTAAGTCAAATATAATGTTATGTAATTTTACTAAACCCCCAAATTACAACTTCACGAGTAATCGTCTACGCCTAGACAACTCTGCAGAATTATCCATCAATTCCATTCCTTACCCAATTCTTTGTTAGACGTATACAAAATATAAATAATGAAGCACATTTTCTTTTGAATTTTCCATACCTTTAGGTCTTGAAATCGCTGAGAAAATTTATTCTTTTAAGAGCAACGTCCAAATGACACGATCCAATGTGGCTGGTTGAGATTTTTCGTCTAAAATCAATATGGCGATTGATGGGAACGATTCACAATCGGGTCGTGCTGAATAGCTTACAATGACAGAGTTGCTACGGGTCATGAAAATATATTTCACGGCATATACGAAGGATTCCATCCCGCATGCAATCTTTTATAGCACGTGTAGAATTATAATATGTACTTTATCAAAGAACGTAAATCTACATTCACATTACTTCGAAAATGTGCCGCGAAAGAACGTAAATCTATAGATTTAATTTTCTTACATTTGATTAAAATTACAAAATAAACAAAATCTAGGCGCATGCGCATGTTAAATGCCGACGGAAAATAATTGAAAAGAGTCGCTGCCATCTTTTTTGTTATTTCACTACTTCATTTCTATCATCGATCACTCCAAGGCGAATTTATACAAGGTGGTGTTGACAGAAAAACCTAAAATTACCACAACTTATACGCATATTGACAATTTTACAGTCCCAAAATTAACGTAATTCTTCTTCTTACCGTTTTTTCTGGAAGCAAAGAACGTAAATCTGTAGATGTGTTTTTGGTTAGTGGATCGGCGTTTTTGGTTTAGTGTGTTGGTGTATTTTGAAAGAATTGTAATAGAAATGGAAGAAATTTTAATAGAAATAAAGGAAATTGTAAAAGGTAAAAGCAAAACCAAAAATCAGATGATCTCAGCTGTAGGCATTTTTTTGGCAATCAGCTGTTAATGTTTTACCTAGTAAACTGTACGATGATCAGTAAAAAGCACAATTACAAAAAAGCACATCATTTTTACCAAAGGTACAAATTGGCCATGAAATCAGCGGATCCGAAAAAAGGCCCTACACACGCATTGATTTATCGGCCAACCAGTTGACCAACCCAGTAAGTAAAAAATTATACTAACAAATTATTCGTAGATAGCCATACTGTCATTGGCAAGGCGAATTTATACAAGGTGGTGTTGATGGTTAATTAAATTTTCGCCGCGGTACTACTGAATGTCAAAATGATGTGTTTGTTGTAAACAAGGTGAATTCATTTTACAACAAACACAGTCGAAATGGTTATTAAAAGCTTTGCTTCTTAACTGTGAGAGTGTTGCCCCTGTTTAAAAAGTCAAATTAAATTTTAAACAGGGAAATTACATAGGTAATTTACAAAATGTTCCCCCACAGGGGTCCAGACTAATGGGCTGTTTTTGCTTACGCGTAAAAGCACATTTAGCGCATTTAGCTCTAAATGCTACTCTAAATGTACATTTATCCATACAAAATTCGTCACCTAAATGCAACTAAATGCAACTCTATTTTTGCATTAAGAATCTAAATGCTAAAAGCAACCCTGTGATCTTCCAAAATTTCCACGATTCGAACATGGTTTAAAGAGAAAAAGTGGCAACATTGCTTTTTCGAGTATACAGTTGCTAGCTGCGTTTCAGTGATCGCCGATCGAGATTTCTTTTATTTTGCATTACATATTTGGATAAAGTAAAGTTAAGCAAATTCAACATCGATTTGATGCTGATAGATCAATTTGTAATCAACTCTGTTTGGTTGTTTCCTTATTAAGTGAGGAAATTTTAATTGACAGCTTGATTCAATAATTAAAGGTTTGCTCATTATTGACATTAGAGTTTTGACACTCCCTTAGCTCCCTTACAAAAGCTATGCACACACACACGAACCCACACACAGTGCCTTGATAAGGGAGACGATTTTGTTAAGAGGGAGCGAGAAAACTGCTTTTTGAGCAAACCTTTTATTATTGAATCATGAATTGACAGCACCGACTAATAAATATACACACAAACAAATGTTCGGTTATGGTTAAAACAATTCAAGTTTTTGTATTGAATTTTTGGTTTAAAATTTATTTTTCCCTTTCCAGTAGGGTTTTTGCACATTATCTTCTGCGTGAGAATTGATCGTAATATATACGCATCTAAATAAGAGACTGGAACACGGCTGTTTGTCAAAAGCAT